ATACTTTGAGGTGTAGCAGCGCCAAGGTTTTGCGTTTTTTAATAAATATTCTTTTATATTTTTTAATTTTTATTTTTTGTTTTTATTTTTACGTGACCTTAACAACGCCATTTAAAGTCACACTAACATTGCTATGTAATGTGTCCCTTAAAACCCTACAACTTTCATATGAAACATTTTTCTCGAAAATTTATTTTCAAAATAATGGACTGTATCATTTAAAATAAGACATCCTGTATACGTGTATATATATTATATATATGATATATGAGCACCTCAGAAGTAAACTGTGTTAAGTCACATAAACATAATTTTTCAGGAGAAGGATCTAAAGAGATTTTTCGCTTTTGATATTTTCAATAAAATATTCGTAATGTTTTGCATATCTTTTTGTATTCACAGATATAATATCAAACTTTGATATGTTTCAGAAAATAAAGTTACATGATTACGGAATATGATTTTATTGTGACTTAACACTGTTTACTTGGTGAATGTGACTTAATTTTATACAGTCAACAAGTACCTTCAAGGTGCGCGCGCGCATGTGTGTGTGTGTGTGTGTGTAAATTTTACAAACTTTGATATATTTTATATTTTTCTACGCAACATTGGATATATATGAGATTGAGGGGGGGGGTGGAGTAACGTAAATAAGAAAGCTGGAGAAATAAAGAAGAAAAGGGATTGATGTGAGATAATCAATTCTCTTTCGGAAAATATACTGGGCGTATCATAAACATCTAAATTCACATTCACTAGAGCACTATATATATCAATGCTTTTGTGCTAAATGCTGATATATGTATTATAAATAATTGTAGCAAGATTAATAATGATTCGCAATTGATAGGCAAAGATTAACTATCTTTTTAACATATATTTTCAAAAAGTGTACTCAAGAGAAACCGCTTTATATTATTAAATTGGCATATTAATAAAAATAATTAATCTTTCGATTTTTTATTCTTTGAATAAAATTTGAACTGAAGCACATTGATATGATTTGTTTATATCAATAACAAATTAAACCAGACTTTTAAATGCAATATCTATTTATGAAACATAAATTAATTGTTTGCTTAATTTGTTCAACAATTTCTTATTTCTTTTCTACAAATAGTTATAATAACATGAACAAACAGCGTTTTCTCTGAAAATGCTTCTAGAAAGTCTATCTGGTGAATGTAAGTAATTATGATGTCTAATGACGACCATATGAATATACGTATTTTTACATTTATGTCTTAATACTATTCACACAGATGTGTTTATAACAATTCGACAAAATAGAACTTTATCAGCAAAAATTTGTTGATAAAGTTATATTCTGTTTCAACCATCAATTGTCTAACAATCTATCATGAAACAATAACATTGAAACAATAATGAAGGCATAAACCAACATACGGAATAAGTACAGACAATATTGAATTTTCTATCGAAAAAACATGATTCTACTCCTTTATTGACCTTAAAAACATTTGGAAAAATAATTTGCTAATGTGAAACAATGCAAACGCATTCTTGATAAAAAAAAAAAGAAATGCTTTAATCCCGCATAGTTTTCATAAATCATATATTTCTTTCAGCTAATATATGTAATCAGTAAGCGCAACATTTTACACAATTATTGTAATTTCTTCATGCGTACATCAAATCTGACCATATTTCGAAGAGCAATCTTAGCAAAGTAAGAAATCATATGTGTCATATAGCTTACGCATAAATGAATATTACTAGACACATCATCAACGTTACAATGAAAATTTCCATAAAGCAAAATTCAAAAATTCAACTTTTATTCGAATCAATTTGTTCCAATGTATCATATAATGTCAATTAGAATAGCGAGAAGCGGTCTATACTTGTATACCGAGCACCCAATAAAAATTATATCGCTTTTTTATTATTATTTGAATGCACATATAATACGCGAGTTTCTTTTTACTTTTTCCTCTTTTTTTATCACTAATTATAAGTATAAATTAAAATATTTATATTGTTTATGTCCGTATACGAGTACAGAAATAAAACTTATTTTCTTCTTCATTTGTGCACTTGTAACCGACATTTTAAAAAGATTTTATTCTCACATTATTTTGGTTTTTACTTTCCAGATTCAAACACTGTCTAGAAAACTTTTTAAACGACCAAAATACTTGGAAATGTTTATCGAACGTTTCATGCTTTGATAATGTGACAAATTGTTTGAGCTATATTACATAGTCATATACGACAAGGTCATATACATTCTATTTTTTTTGTATTAATATATTTTCCGATAAACTGAAAAGCGGCACTCTTTAAAAATGATTCTTGCATAGAAAAATTCACAAGTTACAGCATACAATAATGATCATTTTTAATCGCAACTAAATGCTGCTATTATGTTGTTATATTTCTAGACGAACTTTATTTGGCGACATATGTTATACATGATTGTGACATTTATTACGTAAAATTGCAGCACTTAATTGTAACCATAATATATCGAAAAAATTAATATCTAATGCGGACGCATCTTTGAACAAATATGTTACGATTTTTATATGGCATACAATGCAATTGTACAGGGTCCCATTTTAAATGGCGACCTCAAATATCTCTTGAACAATGCATTTTAAAGGAAAATGTTTTATATAAAAGTTGGAGAGTTCAAAAGGAGCCAATAGATGGTCTTATTAGATTTTGGGTCCGAGGTCTGTGTTGGGCCCAGTAAGGCCCAAGTCAATTTTTTTTAATCAAAACTCCTATTTTTTGCAGCAGATTTGAATTCTATCAAAATAAAACAATTTTATTTTTAATCATTTTTTGCTAAACCCTCTCCAACAGGCCTAAAACGTTGTTTGAAGTTATTATTATGTAATTAGGAAACGTCGATTTTTGGACATACAATCTTAAAAATAATAAATTCTAGAAAAAATTATGTATGATACTTTAAGGTTTAGAGGTGGCGATCTGATGATTAGATTAAATTTTGGGTTCAAGTTCCAAATTAGGCCCAATAAGGTCCAGGTCGATTTTGAAAATAAAATCCACCAATTTCTTATCGCTGATCCAAGTTTCACGTCTTCAATTGAAACAGTTTCGTGTTTTGAAAAATTGATTAGATTTTGGTTCCTAATTATTAGCAGAATCATAACGCGAGTCCTTATTCTTATCGCGAGTTAATCCCAAAGTACATAATTAAATAGTAATACAACCCTCCAACTTTTATATAAAACATTTTTCTTTAAAATGCATTGCTCAAAAGATATTTGAGATCGTCATCTAAAATGAGATACTCTGTATATCAAAGATACGTCCAAATGTCTATCTGGGTAGTTCTGAAAAGCTTCGCATAATATAATCAACAATAAAAATATTGCATCTTACAATTAGCAATAATAAAAAATTACATAAAAATTAACGATTGTTTTTACATTAATTTAAAATAAGAATATTGTTAAATATTTCAGTTGTGTTGCAACAACTTTTCCAAATTTATCTTCAACACCTCTATTGTCCTTCTCGACACATACACATACCCACATTCTCTCTCTCTCTCTCT